GTTTAAGCACGGTTTGGAGCTGCTTCTCCTGGCCCGAGCCCGGCCCTGACAAGGGCGTCTACTTAGGGTCAGCACCTCCCCTGCCTGGTCCTCTCACCCGGCTGGCACCCAAAGGACCCGTCACTTTAATTAGCATGGCTGAGAGTGGACTGGCAGCTCCTGTCTGGCCAGGATGTGGTCTGTGCCACTGCCTCGGAGCCGCCTGGGGCCGCCAGCTGTGGTTCCTCCATTCTGTCCGCTTCCACTGGAACATCTACAGCATGGCTGCCCCTTTGGACATTATAATGTTTTTAATTTCTGAAATTTAGTTTTCTGTCTAGTGAAACAATAACAGTTATCTTTTGGGTTCTGAGTTTAGACATCGGAACTGGAGGATCCAGGGAGCTCGAGGAGAGTGGAGAGAGAGTCACTGGCATTCGCCAGGGACACTGGAGTCCTGACCTCCTGCCCCAGGGACTGCGAGTTCTGTGTGTCCCCGCTCCAGGGCCACAGAGACTCTCAGACCCCAGTCCCACGTGCCACTGTCTTTGGCCATGCTGTGTTCCCAGGGCAGGGCTCTTAGGAGTGCCCCTGGGAGCTGAACGCTGGCCTGGCAGGAGGGGCAGGGAGGTGGGGTGTGGAGTCAGGTGGGGGATGGGAGCTCTGGCCCCCCGGCCCCTGTGGCCGCCACCTCAGTGCTCAGAAAAGCTGGCTCCAATTAATTATTTATGGCCGAGGTTGGCACTGCGCAGCTGAGCATAATTAAGGGCACCGAGTCCATTCCAATCCTAAGATGCCAAACTCCTGTTCTCATGAGTTCCTGCTGGATTGCAGTTCTCCCTTCTCCGGGTTTGCACACGTGACTGAGGAGCCGAGGAAGAGAGGGGTACACAGGGCCTGGACAGAGTGGGCTCGCTCTCAGGCTTGAGGGGCCGGAGCAGCTGCTGATGGGAGCCGCCCTGGGCTCGCCCTGCCAGTCCCCAGGAAGGTGCCAAGGTTGGGCCATTGTCTGTCTAACCCAAAAGCTGAGGCTGCCTCTCCTCCCAGCCAGGCAGGTCATGCCCGAGGACGGTGCCACACGCATGGTCCCTGGGCTTCTTGGGGCAGATGCTTCAAGAAGAACCTAAAAATTTGGGGTCCACAGACCCCAGGGCTCCTAAATTCAGTGGACCCCCTGCCTCTGCCAAAACCATTCTTAACCCCTTTGCATGAGCGATCCTTGTGTAAATGTGAACCGTGATAAGAGTGGACACTGGCCGAGCATGTGGCAGGCCGCCTCCCTGTCCTGCCTTCAGAGGACCCTGGGAGGAAAACTAACATGACTCCCCCTCCTTGCTCAAAACACTAACCTAATTTTATTCACGCCTGCCTTGGGATGGGGACTAGATCACTCATTAAAACATACCGTAAAAGCAAATCATGCCTTACCATGTGCAACTTTTAAACAGCAACAATGATGTACCTTCAACCCCCCACTCTTCTTAACAGATGAGAAAACTGGGCTTAGAAGATGTGGGCAACTTTGTGGTGAGCCTCCCTGTGAAAGGCTGAACTGGGACAGGACTCCAGGTCTGTTAAAGCTGGAACCTCATCTGCTCAGCTCTCAGCTCGATGCCCCTGGGATGGAGGTCTGGGCACCACCCTGGCATTTTTAGAGCAGATTTATACTGTTCAGCTTTCACATCAATAAGCAGATGCTCCTGGCAATACCTTGAGATGGTTTCACACTTCGGTGGAAAATGGGGACTAACATTCTGGTGCTCAGAGAGGTCCATCTATCAGCCCACAGTCACACAGCTCGGAGGCACCAAGAGGGGGCCAGTGCTTGGGCTTCCTGACTCCAGGAGACCCTCCTTGCAGGGATGTGAATGGCTGGGGAGGGGGCTGGGCTGGAGGAAGGCTGGCCAGCCCTGATGCTGGGTTTCCAGGGCAGCTCTCTTGTCCCCGGGGGCTTCACTCCCGGACCTCTGGATGTGGCAAACAGGAGGCCCTCGGGGCAGGGTCTGAAGGTGGTGTCCTTTGGGGCCACCGGCTCTTTCCCCAGCAGACTCCACACTCACCCTGGGAGGAAGCATGAGTGCAGAGTAGGCTCCGGCTGTGCGACCTGACTCAGCCTTATGGAGGGCAGTGCAGCCGTGTGCGGGGAGCAGGCGAAGGGAAAATAACTTTTAATTAACATTTAAGAATAGGAATCGGATCATGCAAATCCCCCTGCATCTCTTTAGCTTCTGCTGATTGTTCTTGATTAGGCTTGATAAAAATAGCCCTGCGTGTGTGTGGCAGTGTGGCCGTCCTGCCAGCCCCTCTGCCCCACCCACTCCCACAATGAAGAGTAGACAGTGTCTTGCGGGCTCGTCTGTCACCCGTTCTGAGGGGGACACACCAAGGGCCATCCTGGCCCTAGGTGTGTATGAGCACCCCTTCCCTCCATGACCATGTGACCTAGTCACCTGGAAAATTCACATGTGGGTGGGATAGAGCATGCTCCCTGCCTGGAGCAAGGCGGCACGCACCCTGTTTCTGGATGGGGAGACTGAGGCTTGTACACACTGGGGGGCAGGTGGGGCTCCGAGCAGCTTATTCCAGACTCCGAGGGCTGCTGCCAACCCCATCACCCTGTGATGCCTCCTCAGCGTCCTGCTGGTGTCTTTCCCCAAACAAGGGGCTGACTGACCTCTGACCCGCTGACCCCACCCCTTTGGGTCACCGCAGTGCCTCAAGCCCCTTCCTCCTGCTGGGGACAAACCTGTCGTTGGACTTGGCCTGGCTTCCTTCTGCCCTGGTTTCCATGGTGACTACAGGTCCCAAGGCCAGTTCCTGGGCAGGTGTGTGTGTGGAGGGGTTCCCCGTGGTTAGGAGAGCTACTTCCATCACACCCTGACAACTGGAATTCAGCAGGCTGGCGCGGGACAAGCTTGGGTCTCTGGAACGGCATGCTCACCACCTGCCCTGGACCAGCTGAGGCCCTGACTCAGCAGACGATTCTGAGCACTTGCAGGGCTGCCCCAGGACCTCCATGGATGGTGCCAGATGCCAGGGACAGGTTCAGGCCTGAATTTGTTGCTGGCTTGGCTCCTTACTACGAGGTCACCCTGGGCAAGTCCCCTGCTCTGCAGAGTGGGGGGAGGGGTAGATGGTGCCCCCAAGATGGCTGCAGAGAGGGATGAACCTGCCTGCTAATGGGCCAGTGCCCAGTATGACCATCCCAGGGACAGCTGTGCATCCCTGTCATCGTTACAGCAGGTACACAGGGCAAGGCTCTGCTTGGCAACCCCTCTGGGAGTGTCTTTCTCACTGTGAGGGCAGCTGGATCTGCCTGGCTGGCTGTGGGGGAGGACCCGTCGGGGTCCTGGTGCCTGGGTATTGTTATTCTACCAGGCCCCTCCCTCTCCTGATCCTGGGCCTGAGCCTCTACTGCCCGTTGCCCTCTGGCTGGCAGATGGAAGACAGAAACTGAAGCCCAGGAAAGAGAAGGGGGCCGTTTTCCAAGCCATTGGAACGCCTCCCTGGCCAGTTGCATGGATGCTTTCCCCAGCTGGGGCTCGGCCTGGTCGAATCCTCCACGAGCTCCTGGCTGCTCTGCCACCAGGAGCCTGAGGGGCGCCCAGAGCCCCCCACTGGTCTGCAGGTGCCTGAGCCGGCTCTCCATGCTGCCATCTGCCCACTAGATGGCGCTGTGCACTCACCTCCCACAGGCACCGCAGTCTGGGTTGCAGGAGGGGGTGCTGTGCAAGGGGGCTCCCCCCTCAGGGAGGACTGCTCTGTGGGAGGAGCCATCTCCTCCCTCCGTCCCTGCACCTCCCTCCCCTTCCTTTGTGGCACAGCTTGCGGGGTCCGGTTCCAGCCGCTGCCCCTTGCTGGCTGTGTGGCTCTGGGCAAGGGGCTTAACCTCCACAGCCCTAGTGTCTGCGTCCATTATGGGGCCCCACCCCTCAGAGGCTGGCGGGAAGCCCTGCTGGTGCCCGGTGGAGGCGCTCTGCAGAGGCGCTGGTGCTGGTGTCACCACTGGTACCTTTACTGGCTCACGCCCCTCATCACTTGGCCCTCGGGACTGGCTTCAGGAGAGGGTGGGGCAGGGCAGATGCTGAGACCCAGCACCCTGGCCACAGCCGGCCACGGCCCGCTGGGGCCCTTGCCGACCTGCCGCTCTGCAGTCCTGGCCTGGCCCCTGCTCCCGTGCTCTTCTGGAGGACACTGGCCGGACCACGGGCCCACTGTGTCAGCACTGCCCTGGGGTCTGCGCGGGCAGCTTTCCAAGGAGCTGGGAGTCGTGCTGAGGGTGCTGGCTGGTGAGCAGGAAGACAGCAGCAGCCAGGACCCCTGAAGACTGATGGGTGGCTGCAAGTGGGTCTGTCAGACGTCTGCTGATGCCAAGTGACTCCCGAGGGTTTCATGGGATGGGGACCCTCCTTGTGCCACAGCTGCTCTGTTGGAATCCAGAGGAAGTGGGAGCCGGTGACTCATGAGCTGTCTCTAGGCTATTCACTCCAGGAGGGAACTATGAACTGTGGGCTCGAGGCCCACAGTGGACTTTCAGTGATATTTGTTGAGTGGACACATGATATCTACCAGCAATGCTTGATCACTGAGGTCCTGAGTAGCCGGGCTGGGGCCCAGTCACGACCCACCCTTTCCTTTCTGCTGACAGAGGCCATGGGGGGCCAGCTGAGGGCCGCATGCAGGGACTGTCCAAGGCCCTGTTCAAGGCCCTGTTTGGGTGTCCCCCAAGCAGATGCCACTGCACACACAGCCACACACACTCCTCCAAAAGCAGCTGTGACGTCAGCCCACACAACACCTGCCACCTCCTCTGGAGCTCACAGGTCCCGTGAGGCACTGTGCTGAGTGGAACACAGTGACCCCACTGGCCCCCAGCAGCCCCTCCCTGGCCAGGCTATGGCCTCCCTGCTGCAGACACCTGGAGTGAGCTGCCCCGCGCACCACCTGCTGCCTGGCTCTCAGCGACCACGTTGTCTGCCCAGTGCCTCCGACCAGACAGAGCAGCCGCAAGAGGGACTCACTGTGCTTGTCGTGAATTCTGGCGGGTTGTCATTCACGTCTGTCACCATGATGATGGCTGTGGCTGTGTTTGAGAGGCCGTAGTTGAGGTTTCCCTCCATGTCTGTGGCCTGAACGATGACTGTGTACTGCTGAACTTTCTGGAAGGGAGAGAATGAGTTGAGAAAGAACAGAGGATCAGTTTTGGCTTTGATTGGCAGGGAGTCTAAAATTGTCATCAGAGGAGCTAGCTGCAGCTGGCGCCTTTCGTGCAGGCTTGTGCACCGTGTGTGGGGTCCTCAGCCGCAGGCTGGGGCTGCCTGTTAGAAGAACTTTCTACTTCTCTTGTAGTGGGTAATGAATAGCAGCATGAAGGGGTTTGGGGTGTTTTTATCTCGGTGGCCCTGCCTTTGATAGGCATAGATCCTATTTGGTGTCAAGACAGGAGAAGAATGGAGCCCAGAGCAGTGGCACTGTGTTCGTTTTGGAAAACTAGGGAGGGGCAGTTTGCAAAGAGAGGGACAATCCCACAGACATGTGTCTGGAGAGACTTCATTTCCTAAGTATTTATGGTGTCCAGCTGAACTGCAGGCCAGAAATTCAAACAAGGAGAAAAGACAAACCTTTGTCCCCTTTGTGCAGGTGCAGACACCAGCCACATTCTGTTTGAACACGAGCCCTGAGGGAGCTGTTGGCACTCAGGCGCAGATGTGAGTCTTAAAAGGCAAGTAAAGCTGCTGGGCTGAGCGCCTTTTATTAGACGTTGAAGGAGTCTCACAGCCCTGCTCTGCCTTGCCGGGAGTGCATCGGTGCCAAAATCCTTGAGTTGGCAGAGGTGGCCTTTGCACCCCTGTTCTGACCCAGAGGTTGTGCACTTCTGAAGTGACAGCTGAAGACAAGCCTGGTGGGCAGCTCTCTGCTGGACTACAGCCTGCCTCTCACTGGCACCAAGAGGGGAGGGAGGGTTCTGTTTTCTTTCTTTCTTTCTTTTTTTTTTGGCAGTTGGCTGGTATGGGGAACCGAACCCTTGACCTTGGTGTTACATGGCTGTGCTCTAACCAAGTGAGCTAAACGGCCAGCCCAGGTTCTGAAACCAAGGCAGAAAGGGGGCCCCTGAAATGCCCTCCAAGTGACCAGCAATCCCAAGTCTTGATCCTCTAAGAGGGGAAGGGAAAGACCAGTTCCCAGACATGTGACTCAGTGAAGGGTACTCAACCCCCATAAACTGGCACCATAAAGAACTGTAAATAGTGGAAGGGTCACCAGACTTTCTTTCTCATTCCATTCATCCACCCACCCATCCATGTATCCACCCATCCATCCATCCACCCATGTATGTATCCACCCATCCATCCACCCACCCATCCATGTATCCACCCATCCATGTATCCACCCATCCATCCATCCACCCATCCTTCCACCCACCCATCCATCCACCCACCCATCCATGTATCCACCCATCCATGTATCCACCCATCCATCTATCCACCCATCCATCCATCCACCCATGTATGTATCCACCCATCCATCCATCCATCCACCCATCCATGTATCCACCCATCCATCCATCCACCCATCCATGTATCCACCCATCCATCCATCCTCCCATCCATGTATCCACCCATCCATCCATCCACCCATCCATCCACCCACCCATCCATCCATCCACCCATCCATGTATCCACCCATGTATGTATCCACCCACCCATCCATCCATCCATCCATCCACCCATCCATCCACCCACCCATCCATGTATCCACCCATCCATCCACCCACCCATCTATGTATCCACCCATCCATGTATCCACCCATCCATCCACCCACCCATCCATGTATCCACCCATCTATATATCCACCCATCCATCCACCCACCCATCTATGTATCCACCCATCCATGTATCCGTTTATTCATCCATCCATCCATACATCTATCCATCCATCTATCCTTCCCTCCCTCTATTTCTCTATCCCTTCCTCCATCCCTTCGAGACCAGCCAGCCCCAAGCCAACCCTGTAGCTGATGACAGATGAATGAATGAACCCAGCCAAGGCTGGAAGAGTTTTCCTGCTGAGCCCAGCCCCAGTTGCTAATCTATGGAATTGTAAGTTAAATAAATGGAAATAAATGATGGTTATTTTGGCTGCTAAGTTTGGGATGTTTTGCTACTTAGCAGAAGTTCACTGATTTACACCCAAATCTTTGACACGGTTCCCAGGGCTCCGTGTGGCCTGGCTGCTGGCCACCTCTGCAGCACCATCTGAATCCTGCTCCCCACGGCCTTGCCTGTCCCCATCTCATGGAACCCTTCTGGCCCTCTGGACAGCCAGGCCCCCATGATGTGCCCTCCCCCGGCCTGCTCTTCGTCCCTGGCCTGCACCGCTGTGTCAATCGTACGTTCATTGTGTGCTCATTTGTTCTCCATGTCCCTCACCAAACCGAGTCCCGGGAAACACAGCTGGCTATTCACTACCGTGTCTCCAGGGTCCACTGCAGTGCCCAACACACAGTAAGTGCCCAGTGAATGAGAGCTGAACATTGCCGGCAACTGCAGTGACAGCAGAGGCTCTGAGGAGTGACATGTTGGCCCCAGTGGTGACTGGTGCCGATGAGGCACCTGGACATTCTGTGGGCAGCTGGGAGTCACCAGGGGGCTTTGAGGGAGTCACATGATCCAACCTACAATGGGCTGGCAAACTGTGGCCATGGGTCCAGTCTGCTCACCACCGTCTGTTACTGTAAAGTTTTATTGGCACACGGCCATGCTCACTCATTTACAAATTGTTTGTGGCTGTGTTTGCACTCCAGCCACAGAGCAGAGTAGTTGTACCAGGGACTGTATGGCCCACAAAGCCTAAGATGTTTACCATCTGGCCCTGTACAGAATACGTTTGTTGAGTTTGGGCTCCAACATCACGCAGTCAGCCAAGTGCCTCCTGATAGCGAAGCAACAAATGTCTCAGGGAGGGAGGGCTGGGGAAACCAGGGGAGGCTTCCTGGAAAAGGTAGCCATGTTGCCTGAAGGTGTCAGGATAAACTGAGAGCAGAGCTGGGAGGTGTGGTTGGAGCTGGCAGGTGTGGTTGGAGCTGGCAGGTGGGAATGTACCTGCCGCTGTGGCAGCCCATCAGGATCCAGCCTGGGATTGTGGTGGGTCCCACATGTTCCCACCCTGTCTCTCACCCAGAACTGCTGGCCTGGCCCTGCTGCACAGGACAGGGCTTGCTGGGGGTGGGTGCTGCCTCCTGGACCCCCAGACTGCACTTTCACCTCATCGCATGGCCCTGGCTGTCATTCCTAGAGGCCTCCTGCAAGGAGGCAGGTGCCTGAGGCCTCTCAGAGGAGCAGGAAGCAGTTTCTTAGCGCATGTCCATGCGGCTTCCTCAAGGGGATTAATTACTCAGAGAGAGAGGTGAGGAGAGCTGCAAACAGGGCTCCTGCAGGGGTCGGGCGGGAAGAGTATGGGCTGAACATGCTTCCACGTGATGGGCATGACAGGGAGGCCGGGAGTCACTTGGTGCAGGGGCCTGGCCTCAGTTCTGCAGTGGCCTGGCCCTTGCCGGTCTCAGTGTGCCCACCTGTAAAATGGGCAGGATGCATGTTCTGCCAACTGCACGGCTGCACACTAGTCACTGAAATGGTGAACAGGAAAGTGCGCCCCACGCTGGTGTTTTTACTGCTTTTCTCCCCATTGTGTGATTTCTTACCTCCCTCCTCCACCCCACCTGTTAGCCCCAAACCACTCACCGTCCTCCTCATGTGCATCTCCCAGCTCCGCATCCCACCCCGCTGCCCTGATGGTCATGATGCCCATGTTGCCCCGACTGGCTTCTCTCTCAGGTGAGCACCACGCTGTGGTGGCACCTCTAGGGAGCATCCCTCACCTCCCTGAGGCAGAATCGATCATGCCTCCCACACAGCTGCACAGTCCTCAGGCTTTACCTTTTATGTTGACTCAGCCAGTGTTCGCTGAGCACCTACCACCACGTGCAGGAGGCACGAGCCCTGGAGATGCAGCGCACCCCTACTGCCTGGAAGATGGCTGTGTCTTGCCCACGTTTGTGTCCCCAGTGCCTCAGGCTAGTACCTGGCATACAGTAGGTATTCAACAATGTTTGTGAAGCTAATGGCTCACATCTAACACAATTGACATCTACCAAGATCAGTAGAACTTGGAACCAAAGAGACATGAAAAAATAATAGAAATAGCTTACATTTACATAGTGCCACATCATATTTTGAAAGATTTCTGAAATTAGGTTAGCCTTACCTCCTCCTCTTCTTCCTCTTTCCCTCACCTGTTCATTCATCCATGCACCCACCCAACCACCCATCTATCCATCCATCATCCATCCATCCACCATCCATCCACCCATCCATCAACCATCCATCCATCATCCATCCACCCATCCATCCTTCACCCATCATCGATCCACCCATCCATCCACCCATCATCCATCATCCACCCACCCATCCATCATCCATCCACCCATCCATCATCCATCCACCCATCCATCATCCACCCATCATCCATCCATCATCCATCCATCCACCCATCCATCAACCATCCATCCATCATCCATCCACCCATCCATCATCCACCCATCATCCATCCATCATCCATCCATCCACCCATCCATCAACCATCCATCCATCATCCATCCACCCATCCATCAACCATCCATCCATCATCCATCCACCCATCCATCATCCACCCATCATCCCATCGATCTATCCATCCACCATCCAAACATCCACCCATCTCTCATCAGTCCATCCATCCATTATCTATCCATCCATCCCATCCATCATCCACCCATCATCCATCATCCATCATCCATCCATTGTCCATCCATCATCCATCCATCATCCATCATCCATCCATCGTCCATCCATCATCCATCCATCATCCACCCATCATCCATCATCCATCCATCATCCACCCATCATCCATCATCCATCCATCATCCACCCATCATCCATCATCCATCCATCATCCACCCATCATCCATCATCCATCCATCATCCACCCATCATCCATCATCCATCCATCATCCACCCATCATCCATCATCCATCCATCATCCACCCATCATCCATCATCCATCCATCATCCACCCATCATCCATCATCCATCCATCATCCACCCATCATCCATCATCCAT